CAGGGGATTCGGGTCTCGTCTTTGCTACAGACTTCCTGCGACCTGGAGCAGATCAGTTGGGTCTAGATGCACCAGGGATTTGGGCCACAGGGTCATGCTTATTCTTGCTCCCTGGCCCTGTAACACTCACGGTCTCAGGTTGACAGCAGCCCAGCATCAACCAAGGGGTTAAAGGAGCTCCTGCTCCATGTCTCTGGGGATTATGGATCGTATTTACTTGTAAGGTGTGTGGCCGTTCTTGGAAGCGAGGCACACCGTGGGATTTGCAGGTAGTGTCATGGGACTGATAGAAAACACAGCATAGAAAAACCCGTAACCCAGCTCGTTCCCTCATCTGAGGGACACGCTGTGACTGCAGCGCGTGAGCACGTAGTGATACCGAGTCTTTCGAGTCAAGATTTTGGGTTGCCGATGAGTAAAACGAGGTGCTTAGCCTCGCGAGGAGATCCCACCATGCAGCAGCTTAAAGGATCTCCTTTTCAGAAGGTAGAAGATAAGCACTTTGTAAACACCTCTGAGAATCCTGACCTTACGGTATCTCCTCCGTGGAAGAATCCTATCGCAGCGTTTATGTGCTCTTGGCAATGCAGCGTTGTTCCCCCAGTTCAAAGTACTCCATGATGTGGAGGTGAATTCCTCTGGCACCCACACATACCCTCGGCCGTTAATTGTTTGTTTGCAATAAGCAACTGAGCTCTGTGCTTGCGAGTGCTCTGGTGAAGATAAAAGCACTGCTTGCTGGCGTTTGTTCCCCTTTCATTTTAGGTGATGAGAGCAGAGCAGTAACCCAAAAAACGTTGTGGGTTTTTTTTTTCCCCAAGGATTAGGCATGTGTTTTTTTCTGTCCAGGCATTTTTTTTATGTGCATGGATTTTTTTCTGTGCACTCATGCTTTTTTTCTGTGCATGTATTTTCTGCTAGCATTTCATAAATCCAAGTGTTTTAAAATAATTTCCATAGTGCTTTCTGTCTGTAATTTTCAGTGCATCTTGAGTTGCTCACTGAAAACATGTTTGGGCTGCTTTTTGTCGACCTCATATGATCTAATAAAACATGAATCTGTTTAGCTTACAGGCATTATTTTGTACCCCAACATCCAAAAAGCTGGCTTATGACTACCTGATTTTACAGAATTTTACCCTCCTGACAGGTTCATGCTGCATTTTGCAGGTCTTACGCTGCCTGAAGCACGTGAGACCCCCATGCCCCAGAGATGTGGTGGCTTAGCAGGTTGCAGAGTTATTGGCTCAGCACCTCTGAGTGGGCTGGAGATGGGACAAGGGCAGGAATAAGAGTAGGCACAAGCTTGAAAAATGCATCAATCATAGCCAGTACTTCTTTAAATCCAAGATAAACCCTCCTGCCTCATGCGGCACGTTGGACATTGCAGGTTATTTCTCTGCTAGTGGTTTTTTTATAACCTGAACAAGGTAGTCAGACAAAATCCTGCATCGGATGGTTCCTCCCAGAAAGGTTGTGTCGAGAGGTGAGCTCAGGTGCTGGGAGACCCAGAAAAGTGGCTCATTGGGTTCAAATCAGACAGAACTAAAAGATTACCCCAAAAAAGTGTCCACATTCCTGAGGACACCTGTGGGTTTGGTTGTTTTTTAAATGCTTTAAATGGTTTTGAAAGCAAAGTGATGGGTTTCAGATGCATTTGCAATTTTATTTCCTTTCTTGAAAAGGAAAAGGCTCTGTGGGGCGAGGGTAGGACGTTTAGCATACCACATTTTAGGTCTTTATTGAATTAAAAGCGGGAAATCTTGCCCTGAGCAGAAAACCACACTTCCAGTTGTTTGCTGCAACAGCAAGCAACCTTTTAACCCCATTCCCAGGGCAGTTAAACAATTTTGCAGGACTAGAACTACAGAAGGGCAAAAAAAGCGTTTTGCTTGGCTTTCATCGTCTTGGGGAATTAGTCCATATTTTGTATTCATCAGTCACCAGAGGTTTTCTTCTGAGCCTCATGATCTGAACCCGCTAAGTAAGGCAAATCCAGATTAGAGCCTCTCACAACAGAAACACTGGAGAGATCATCAGGGAAGCGGTTAGAGGAGGAGACAGGCAGGAGGGGAATACCGAGTCACTACACTTCTATTTTTAACTGTATTTTCTAATTTGGCATTGCCATAGAAGTCCCAGGAAAGGCTGAAAATTGAAATTTCTGCAAGAGAGGCAATGATTTTATCCCTTCTCCATGGGCTTGTTTCTTAAATCAAAGCCAGTTGCAGAAACAGGGGCTGGACAAGCTGGAAGGAAACATGCTGTGTCATTTTAACATTAAATGGTCCTTATTTTGGGGGGACAGTGTGGACGTCCCCCAGTCCTTGCGTTTGTGCCTCCAACTAAGCCAGTCCCAAGCTGCAGATTCCAAACCCAAACGTAGTTTGTTTTGACTGGCTGATCCGGGCACTCCTCTTAAGGTTTCTCCTGCCTTGTGTTGCATCAAAGGAGTTGTAATCCTCCAGACAGCTCTGAGAAAGGCTGAAATAGCACAAAAGCTTCTCATCTTATGGCATTTTACTTGGAGACAGCTCTGGCCTCTTGAGAAGATGAGACCTTGCATCACACTGAGCCCCTTGAATAGACCTGGCTGCAAGGAAGCCTATGAGTTATTATTCTTAATGTTATATTTAACACAAGCCCAGGCACTGACCTCTCCTGGGTTATATAGGTCCCTGAGGGATCAAGGACACATTCCAGCCTGTGAGATAAAACTGACCTCAAAGCAAGCCAATTATATATAGCCAAGGCACTCCTCTGACCCATCTTCTCCAGCACTGCGGTCTTCCTTTGCCTTTGGGTCTTGCATGCCCCTGCCCTCCCCATCAGCCTTCAGACAGCTCCAGCATCCTCCTCTCCATTCTTCCCTGGGATTTTTTTCCTGACCACACATTTTCTGTCTTTTCTCTCCTCCAAGACAGCATCACCGGACAGAAAGATGATAGACCACCCCATCTCCCAAGTAGGTGCATGTCTGGCATTCAAGGCATCACTGCGTCAGGTCCCCAAAGGGGAAGACTGAGGCCTGCATGGAGAATAGGGGAGGACACCTTCTAACGCAGCTCCTCCACTGGGTTTGGGCAGAGTCGTGTCAGTCCTACAGATCCAACCCCTCTTGCCTGTACCAACACTTGCCATCCTTGTCCATGCTATGGACAGGACCTCGTATCCTGCTGTCTCCCCATTTCCTTCGTCCCCACAATATCTCCACATCCAACCACCCATCTGACATCTCCCCAGATCCTCTCCCTCAGGCACTTCTGATTCCCACCCGAACAGCACCTTTAATCCTCTTCCCATTGCATCAATATCTCAGCTACTTCATCACGCGGGGGACATCTCCTTTGCTCCCCTCCAGCACTGATCCCCGTTGGGATGTTTGCAGAAGGTCATGGTGATGCTCCTGGGATCTGCAGGTGAGAAGGCCAATAGCAGGGAAGGCAGAGGAAAGGATAGGAAAAACCAACTGGAGTTAGGGTAAAGCTTGGATGGGAGAGAATTATTTTTATTTTCCTAGTGCATAAATTTCCCTCCTGCACCTCTGTCCTTAATTAAGGACAAAAGAAAAAGTCTATTAATAGAAAGCAAGAAAGAAATCATATCAGGTGACCTGCTTTATTTGACTGGATTACGTGTGGGATTACAGGAGTGTTTAGAAATGTCGATAAGGACTCCATCAAATTCTTCCCTGTTGCTGCTTGTTTTCTGGGAATAGGAGGGATTTGCAGCTGGTCATTCAGATTAAGAATCCGGTGGAGTAATTTGATTAGGGCAGGAGGAAAGGTAAAAAAACAAAACACAACGATGGCCTTGGTATTGTCAGTTTAGAAACAGTGCTGTGTGTTTTCCTTGTTAAATGCAATTCTTGCAGCTATGGAAAATCCCAGGTGCACTGAAGGATTTTTGGTGGCTCTTTGCAGGTGGGGAATGGGACGCAGGGAAGAGAGAGAGGAAGGAAGGGTGAGAGGGAAGAAGGTGATGGTATAAGGGCTGTATAGGGGCGATGTAAAGCTGATCTGAGCAGATGGCTTCCTGCCACCTAAAACTTCCACGTCGTGAAATCCCATTAAGTGCAGAGTTTAATGAAGTTCTGGATATCAAGAAGAGGCAGCTATTTAAAGCCTTGATCACCTGCCAAACATGGCTCAATGAGCCATATTTCCTGTCCTGAATCACTTCTTCCTTCTCTCATCCCCTGGCCATGCTTTCTCCTTAGGAAATGGATTTGTGAAATGAAATGCACGGTGGCAGCACTGCCAGAGCTGGTGGCTAGTCCAAGGTGTTCCCACGCAGGGGTGCCTGGGGTTAAATTAATAAAATTATAAGAAGGA